CAGTCCATATATGTGCCTTGAACCACCCACTATTCTTGGAATTTAGCCAAAACCCTAATCACTAATCAAATCTTCCGTCCTTTTTTTTCTCTTCCCTAGTTATTAGTCGTGCTCGAGTCAAGTATTGTGATGATGATGTTCTTTAATTTTCTACCGTGTGGAAGGTGAGAGAGAGAGGCTTTGAAATGTTTTCTAGCGGAGAATGAATTATAACGATCTCTTTATGAGGTCCATAGGTGATAGGACGTACTGTACACAGTAGTAGATGGGAGCATGCAACCCCAACCTACGTACCTGGATCCAGACAAAGGAAGCCATTACACTTTGTACATCGAAAGAGAGATGAAGTTTCCCCTCATGGCACGTTGTTAGGGACAAAGGCTTCAGTTCCAGTACAAACCAAAGTTGCTCCATCGTTTTTGTTGCATTAAATGCCAACTGTCACGGAGATGATCTCTAAGGACCCGAGCAAGCAGTGTTTATTAAGGCTGTATTTGGTTTGAAGGAAGGAAGGAAGAGGTAGGGGAATCCATACAATGAACCAAACATAATCTTAGCATTTACTGCTTAGGACGATAGGCAATTCGCATCTGCACCCCCACGGCACATTCCAACCGTGCATTGGGAACATCTCCCGGTGACATTTATGGGAGATGTTCCTAATGCACGCTGAACAGAGCCGCGTGAATTCCATCCAGCATCCAGGTTGTTAGTTGTTATTACTTCCATCGGCATCCAACACCAACTAGCAATGAAGCAAATCGGAACAGAGCCGAGACTTGGCATTGCCACGTGGCAAAACGCCCATACATCTATCCACGTCAGCATTCCGGGACCTGGCTTATCCACGTCACGGAAAGAACGAGTTCAGAAAATGCGGCACAAATAAGGAATCATTCTTTTGGATATTCCGGAGCATGAGAGTATCTATTTATTATATTGGCACACTTTCGTACCGAATCAATCAATCAAGTTTTGGATTTTGAAAGATAAAATCGTTTAGTCGATGTTAACCCCCGTTCGACGCCATATCACGAGCATGCCATTGCAGCTTGCAACCGGCCATCAGCCAAGTAATCTGACCACATTGCCCTTCTCCCAAACTCCCATAGTCTCGTTAGGCTTTTTAACTACGCAGAGAGAGAGAGAGAGAGTGAGAGTGACCCGATGTAGCAAAATCCCATCAATATGGTTTGGACTCCAAAGGGATGGGTCTATCATTTTATTTGGAGGGTGTCCCACCTTTAATTGTGAAGAGATGAATTGAGCGGCTATGATCATCTAACCTAACCACATCAATTCTTCACTTAGTGAGTGCTTTTATTAGGAGGTAGCTTTTCTTCTTAATCTGAGTGTTGACTATTGAAGGTTTGATGGGTTATTACTTATTAGGCGGTGAGCTTTGGCCTTTGGGTTCATCCAATCGACAAGGAATGGGGCTAATTGTGTTGCGTGTGTGTAGTCTATGACTTTAAAAGGAAATATGGGCATGGTGCTTAGTGAGGTCTTATTACAAGTTATTGTATATCCTACCATACATGATGACCGCATCGCAGTCATTACTCCTTTAGATTTGTTGACTTGCACAAACTGATAATATGTCAACACCATTTGATTGGTTATTGGTGAGTCAATTGATGAGGATTGATTCTGCGTTTACACAGTGGCTCTGGCTGATGGGGATGCTAGCGGTTTGGGCTCAAACTGAACCCCAACTCCAACCGGCCGCGAACCCAACCCAATATTTAATTTTAATTTTGAAATAGGAATCCTGATCGAATTCACCTCCTCAACCATCAAGGCAGTTTACCACTTCTATACTGACACCCCTAGTGCATGATATATTGATATTTTTGTCTGGAATGACATTTTCAACTCAATATCCAAAACAAGTGATAGTTACGTTGCATGGGGTTTTCCACTTCTATACGACATAAGAAAGAAAAAGCTAGATAATTGAAGAGGGCAAATTGGCATAGCACAGGATCGGCTTCTTCTTTTATACGACATTGAAAATATGGGAAAAAAAAAATCTATGTCCACAGGATATCCAAGCTGAAGAACTTTGACCAATCAAAACCTTTCCCTGAATTTTGAGAAATACCACCTGACTGATTAGCAACTCTATCATACTGTTTGATTCTTGATTGGTTAGTGCTTACAAGTTTTTCCCATATAATATCAATATTTTGAGTTCAGCGTTACATCACATTCCATCTGTGTATTGGAAATATCTCCTAATACTTGATTGAACCTAACGCTGGGAAAAAAATATACTGTGAGGTGATACTAAGATGTATTTTTCAAGAAAAAGAAACTCATCCAAACCTAATCTAATTTGACTTCATTTGTTTGTGATACAAACGTCTACCCTGGTTCTCATTTGCGAGCATTTGTCTAATATGTAAAAGTAATGATAAAGAGATCAAAAATGTATTTTCAGACATTATTGTACTCTAAAAAAGAGTATTACTATAACTATTTTTTTGGAATAATTTTGTGTTCTTATGATAATTTTGTTTTTTAACCAAAATTTAAGGAATTGAAGCATTTAATGATGGGGCCCATGCTTTGCATCAATTTCAAACAAATAGACGAATACAAAAATGATTTAAAAATGTAAACCCAATTTGCATTTATGGATTGAAAAATAAAAAGATAATTATGTAGAGTACATATTTGCATTTGCATCGCAACCAAAAGAATTAGGATCTACTCCTCACACAATGCGCCTAAGACTAACCTCACAGCCACATCCGAGCCTATATTGATAACATGTCCCCATGAATAATAAATATAAATTTCAGGAGATGCTCTTGATATGCGACTAGGACATGCTGTGAGGTTGGTGTGAGACACACTTTGTGAGGAACAGATCCAGACTCAACCAAAAAAGCTTAAATTTCTTGGTGCTAAACTAGATGACTAATGCCCATTTCATTTGCTAGTATTAGTAGTAGGTTAATTGATCAATTGATAAATTGACTATGATATTGGAGAGTATTAGTTACTCAAAACAATTGCTTGAAATTGATACCTTCTCGTAAGGTGGAACCTGAGTGTTAATTTATTAATTTATATCACACATGCAAGAACCCTAAAACCTTACTTATTCATAGTTGGTTGGAAAAACATACTTATCTAAGTAAAAACGGTCGGAGCATAAGAATTAAAAACTAATTTTTCCTTTATTGTTGATAATTAAATAAAAAAAAACTATATTAGGATGTATATAAAACATAATGTTTAAATGTCACAAAGCATTCAAATATTTTTTTACAAAATTTAGAAGGATAAAAACTGGTTATTTTATTGAAAAAATAATACCCTGTACTTTGGGATTAGTTCCAATTTGGTCCCCAAACCTTAAAATGCAATAATTTAGTATCTAAACTTTTAAAACGTGTCAATCTAGTACCTACCGTTAAGCAATTGTTAACCAGTTGTTAAGTGATATTTGAAAAAGAGACAAATGCCTTTTAAGTGTCATCCAATTTTCTTTATCAACCATCCAAATGTTAACAAAAAATTAGCAGTCCCAAATCCTTTCCTCTTCTATTCAAAAAAGTTGGGGTCATTCAAATGTCCATTGAGACATGACCCCAAGTTTTTTGAATAGAAGAGATAAGGTTTTGAGACTGTTAGTTTTTTTGTCAACATTGGAATAGTCGATAAAGAAAATTAGGTGACACTTGAAGATCATTTGTTTCTTTTTCAAATACCACTTAACGGCTAATTAACAATCGATTAATAAATTGACACGTTTTGAAAGTTTAAATACTGAATTATTATATTTTGAAATTCAGGGACCAAAATGGCATTAGACCCAAATTACAGGGTACTTTAATCAAGAATTTTCTCTATCATATCAGCCAAATTAATTTGGTTGTAATTTTTAGCCAAAGTAATTTAGTTGTAATTTTATAAATGAAAAGAAAAAAATAATAGAGCTGGACCAGCTGATATCATCATCAGTATTGAAATCGAACGGGGATGATATAGGTAGCGGCCAGTGGGTGGACTAAGGGGGTATGATCAGCGGTCATCCCAAGAAGATAAGTAAACGTCACACATTCACAGCTTTCGACGTCAATAGCTTTTCAAACCATTTGAGATGCCGCTTACGGCTTACCCAAATTCCGAACGTATTCTCAGCTCGACGGGCGACGGCGTTCGAGAATCAAGAGCTCGTGATGATCCGCCACCATGCACATGCACGTGATGATCCGCCACCATGCACATGCACGTGCAAGGATACCGGGTCAGCTCGCCCTCGCTTAGAACCAACGCCGGATTTTGCATCGGCTGAATCCCGGTACAAAATTGTCAAGGTTTGGTTACTTGAGACTGATTAGAGGGAATTATTTACACAACAAAATAATTGGAGTTGTAGGGTCCTGTGTGTGTGTGTGTGCGATTGTTGTGCAAATTTGAAATTTCTGGAGTGGAATGTCCTTGTATGTAGCATGGTGTCCCTGCACTGCAGCAGACCGAGGACCATCATTAATGGATATGACATAGACTACTGGACCATATTCTAACCCCCGCTTCCCTTCAATTCTCACCGTGACAAAAGCAAAACTTCATCAATACGAATACATATAACAGAAAATGTTTCCCCTCTAAGATCAGTCAAGCAGAAGTCTCTGTTACATCCATTTGTCACAATCTACTACTATAAATGGTGGGTCCACATTCAAAACTTCTTTTCCATGGTCGTCATCTTCTTCTCCTCTCTTTTCTTCCCAACCCTCCTAAAAAAAAAAGAAGAAGAAAAGGAAATCCTTTCAATGATAGTTGCTTTCTATTTTTGAAAGGGGAGGGGTATCATCGTCAACTTCTATATATCTTTCATGGCAAAAGCGTAACGTTGCCAGAAGAAAACAAGAATTTCTAATTCTGAGTTTAGAAAGAGAAAGAAGGGCATCTCGGTAATTGTACATCACAAAATTTATGGGCTTCTAAGTCTTAAAGTCCTCGTAGTTGTAGCGGCCCAATCACCTTGTCCCAGTTGTTTGTTAACCAACTGAAAACCAGCATGTGAAACAGGGAGGGACACGGTGAGCAGAGGAAATGAAGAGAATGAGAGAACACTGCGATCTTCAGTGCACACTTAAGCGAGTGCGAGGTACGTTGTTCTGGGTCTCCTTGCTTTCACTATTCGTACTGATTTCTGTGAAGCCGTTGTCTGTCTGTTTCAACTTCAGTTATTTTCGACCGGGGGATTGATGTTGTCGAACCAGAAAAAGCGTTTCGAGCGATGCTTTATTAGTGGGTTGTTTCCCAGATATCAGTTTTCGGGCTTTGAGTTAATGGGTTTTCACCAGATTGTTCAATGTTTGTGGTTACCATCAACAGATGTTGTTTTCTTTCTCGTCGATATTGTAACTTCTTTGATCTAGAAGGAAGAAATGTTTAAATTCGTTTAGGTTGTTTGTATATTTTCTGGTTTCCGATCATGTTTTATAATTGTATGGTTTATTCAAGATGCAAGTTCTGATGTTCTTGATTTGAATATATCTAGAAATCTTTGACCTGTCCGGACTTCAATTTGAATATGTACCTGGTAAATCTGTTATCAAGTTTGCTCGATAGAAGGGAAATTATGTTCTTTTCTCCTTTTTCTTTTCCTTTTTTGTAATTCAAGGTCCCTTCATACATGATCGAACTTTTTGGGCCAAAAACAAAGAAATTTCGTTGACATTTACTTTGCTTCCCCTGATTTCTAATTGATTAAAAGATCCCGTCGAACAGATAATTGAACCAATTCAGTTTGCCTGCAGTTATAAACTACTCTATGGTCGAGCTTGGAGAAAGATAGCTGTGTAAAAGTTGCAGCATTTGATTAAATTCAGCTTCAAGATTATCTGTCTCCCTTCAATTTTGACAAAATTGAGGTAATCCATACCTGTTGATTAGTCTATATATCCTGATCTTTTGAATCAAGGAATTTTTTTTATCAACTTTTTTTGAATCAAAACATGACTGACACAAACTGACACCTTCACTCGAACTTCTCCTTTGTCAGAGATTCGGTGTAGATCTTCCTACTTGCTGAATCTGATCAGAAATATAACTATTCCTGTTATGGTCTTTTCTGGATTCAGGTAGCACGCTTGGTTCTCTAAGGGGAAGGAAAGTCCATTCTTCTTCTCCACATTTTCAGATAGATAGTTCTAAAATGGGCTCGCTAGAGGAGGAGCCGACACCCCAAACAAATCACAGTAAGCCTCCTGCAGTTCGACTGATAGAGTACATAAAGAACTCGACCATCTCCTTCAGAACATATCAAGCCATTGTCCTAATTTTGACATTTTTCGCATATACGAGCTATCATGCCGCCCGGAAGACCACCAGCATCGTTAAAAGCGCCCTCGATCCCGAGTCATCAAAACTTGGGTTCAGCTTATCGCCATGGCCTGGAAACCACTTCCATACAAGGACTGAAAGCAACCAAGTATCAAGTGCTCTCGGGAATGGGTGGGCGCCTTTTAATGGAACAGATGGAACTGTTTTGCTAGGGGATCTCGACCTGGCTTTCCTCGGAGTTTACTCCATGGGAATGTACTTTGCTGGTCATTTAGGAGATCGATTGGATTTAAGGATCTTCTTGACAGTGGGAATGGTGGGGACTGGCGTTTTCACTTCGCTCTTTGGGGTTGGGTACTGGTTTAACATCCATAACTTCTACTACTTCTTGATAGTTCAGATGTTTGCTGGTCTTTTCCAGTCGACCGGATGGCCTTCCGTCGTTGCCGTCGTTGGGAATTGGTTCGGGAAGAAAAAACGGGGGCTGATTATGGGAATTTGGAATGCCCACACATCTGTAGGCAATATTTCAGGATCTCTTATTGCGTCAGCTTTACTGAAGTATGGATGGGGTTGGTCATTTGCTGTTCCCAGTCTTCTAATTGCTTTTGTGGGGTCGGTGGTGTTCCTCTTGCTGCCTGTGAGTCCAGAGTCTGTGGGAGTCGAGATTGAAGTGGATGAACTGCAACCTCCCAAGAAGATTAATGACGAGGAAATAATAGAACCTCTGTTGGGATCAGAGAAAGAGATTCAAAAGGAACAAGCTGTGGGGTTCATTGAGGCATGGAAGATTCCTGGGGTTGCTCCCTTTGCTCTTTGCCTGTTCTTCGCCAAGTTGGTGGCTTATACATTTCTCTATTGGCTCCCGTTCTACATTAGCCACACAGGTATATATACCAATACCACCTTCGATTACTGTTAATTAACTCCATCGATCTGTTGTGTATTCCATTTCCATTCTGAAGTTGGAGCTAGCTCTTTAATTAAAATGAAAGCATATGTCCTACTGTTGATGGTAGTTTATTTTCATCTGGCAGCAATCGATGGCAAGTATCTTTCCGATGAGACAGCAGGGAATCTATCTACTGTATTTGATATAGGAGGTGTCCTTGGTGGGATACTCGCAGGCCACATTTCGGACCATCTTGATGCCAGAGCCATAACTGCAGCAAGCTTCATGTATTGTGCAATCCCAGCTCTTTTCTTCTACCGGTGCTATGGCCATATCTCCTTGTATATGAATATAATCCTCATGTTTATTGCCGGGATGTTCGTCAATGGGCCGTATGCCCTTATAACAACTGCAGTATCAGCAGATTTAGGCACACACAGCTCGTTGAATGGGAATTCACGGGCATTAGCAACAGTAACGGCAATCATAGATGGGACGGGCTCCGTGGGAGCTGCAATTGGGCCCTTGCTGACAGGTTACATTTCCGCAAAAAGCTGGAGTGCAGTGTTCACCATGTTGATGATGGCAGCCCTTGTGGCAGGGCTGCTTCTCACTCAGCTAGTGGTGGCGGAGGTGAAAGCGAAGATTGAGACTGCGAGGTCTCGAGGTGATCACCCATCTACAACACCAGCGATAGTCGAGGTGTAATTTATCTGGGGGGATAAACTGTAAAGAATGTGTAGCTCTGTTTCAGAGCCCCCCGTACGTGATGAGATGAAATGGAGCATATCCTCTCCTTTAAATTAAAAGAGACAAGGGAGGATGTTGTTCCTTCATTACTTTCGGGTTGAAGTTGGGAAGGAAATAGGGTTGCTTTGGTTTTCCCTTCTGTACAGTTGGTTGTCTTTCTACCAAATCCAAAATGAATGGCTTGTTTGTTGTAGCCAGAAATGTTGAGCATGTTTGGCTTCTCTCTCATTTCTTTCATTGGTTGTTGATAAGGCTCCGTCTGTTTTGCGGGAAGATTTGGATGGGATGGGATGAAAAAGTGTGAAATTTTCACTTTCTATTGTTTGATTATGCAAGGGAAAATAGTGGGAAAATTATTTTTATGGAAAAATCATTAGAACTGAACTAAATTTCTTGCATCCCTCTGTATTTCTTCCTCTTAATTTGTAGAAATATCTACAATTTGTAGGAATGATGAGAAACTTGGGTTGGATAAATTTTAACACAACTTGACATGCTCTTGTTAAGTTTTTTAGTAGGTTAGATCTAGCTAGCTAAGCTTCAAGAAAGGTGAAAGCTTGAGCTTAGCTTTAGTTGGGCTTCAAGCGTGTTATGGTGAAAGCCCACTTGAGCTCAGGTTGGGCTTCAAGCAAGGTGAAATCTCAGCTGAGCTTGAGCTAAGCCCCTTGTTATATGCACCTGTCCAAGTTACATGTAATTAGCAAATCAGGAAAGGTGGGAAACCTCTTAACCTAGGAGCTAAGCTTAGGAAAGGTGTTATATGCACCTGTCCAAATTCAAAGATCGCCAAGTAATAAGAATTTGATGGACAATAGATATAAATTTTATATGCATTAACCACACAAAACAAAGAACATGATTGGTTATTGTTACTATCAACTTCGAAGTTTGAAGCCCAACATCTTCAAAAATACATTCCAAAACCTGCTAAGAAGAGTACATAATCTTTTTTTGAGAGAAAGAGATAAAGCCTAAAAATGAATGAGAAAATTTGATTCAAGAAATTAACGCATAGTCCATGAGTTTGTCGAAGGTTTCTCATAGATTTCTACTACAAGTTTGCAACGTCTATTGCTCTATAATGCCAAGTGTTCCTGTAACACAAGAAACATAGCAAATATATAAAGAAGTGATTAGGAAGGATGAACAAGAATTCAAAAGGAAAAAAGGATGTGTCTCAAATGCTTGATATAAAAAAAGCCCAATATACATTGGCCTAACAATATAACACCACTTGTCTGAACAACCAATTCAGTTCATTGATGAACAAGAAGATATACATGATATATCATATCCCAAAACCATCTCTCTAGCAAGGTTCAAAGTGTCAACATGTATCGGCCGATACGTATCATTTTGGGACCCCTCAAATACGCCCCTACAGTGGGTGTATCGGGGGTCTGACCGGTTCAGGGTGTAGAGGAGGCCTAAACCAGCTCCCTTGAACCAATTGCGAAAAAAAAAGCACCAAATGCTGTATTGATTCGCCCGATACGCCCATACCGGCATATCAGGTGTATCGATATTTTGAACCTTGCTCTCTAATTTATAATAAAAACAAAAATAAGAGTCATATTTACATAGAATATCCAAGTCCAACTATGTCAATTCCCAATGCAGAATTTCAGGTTGGGCACCATTACAACGTCTTAACATTCATAACCCTTCTTTATTTGACCATCATCATGGAAACCATATCCATACAAAAGCTAAGATAAGCCATTGCTAGGATAGAATATCATGCCATAACAACATCGTACTTAATATATCTATATCTATATAAATATATTAAGTTGAAATGTGTACGTAAAAAGGCCTAAGAATGAGGGAAATGGAATCTAATAGTATTTTTTGCCTTTTTTACTTAGAAATTATAAGAATACCACTCTCTCCTACCAATTCTCTCTCTCTCTCTTGCTTTTTTTTCTTTCAAATTACAAGAATGCCACTCTCTCTCCTACCAACTCTCTCTTTTTCTTACAAATTATAAGAATGTCATCTCTCTCTCCTTATAAATTACAAGAATTCCACTCTCTCTCCAATTGAGGGAGACCTCAACTCGACATCTCGAATGCTAGGGGACCTACAATCAAGTCGAGTTCGAGCCAAGTCGAGCTCGAACTTCTGAGCTCAAGCTCAAGTCTCTAATTTGAATCAAGCTCAAGCTAGATGACACATCGACTATTGAGGGAGACCTCGGCTTGGCACCTCGATCACTAAGGGAGATCTTGGCTCAACACCTTGACAACAGAGGGAGACCTCAACTCGGCACCTTGTCAACTAAGGGAGACCTTAGCTCGACACCTCGCCTGCTAGGGAAACTTCAGCTCGACACTTCAGCAGCTGAGGGAGACCTTGGTTTGGCACCTCGACTCAACACATCTGATGATGCGCAATCCGGCGGTCTTAGCTGTCAACGACCTTGCCTCTGAACTGAGTAGTAGGGAACCTGAAACGGAGGAGATGAGGAAGCTCCGGGGGGAACCCGGTGTAAAGGCTCCGAAGCTCAAGTTAGAATCCTTCAAAGGCAAGATAAAACCAGATAGCGCAAAGTTTGCATACCTCCTCTTTGGGGGGGTGGAGAGCCTTTTATAACCACCTCGCGCACTCACTCCTAGACTTCTGTCAGGTCAGGAATGATTACTTCCGTGCTTCTACCAGTTCGAGCGTCATTGCCTCTGCTAGGGCAGAACCGTCACTGCTCTTTTTGTCGGAGCCGTCTCTATAACTGGAGATGGCGGAGGCAAGTGACGGTGGCAGGTGGCCGTTGAAGTGCGGCCGTCAAGCGTCAGATCAAAAGTCAGACAGGTGCGCCGCCCCTGGATACGGACTCCTTCGGTGTCAGGTACGGTGTGATTTGTCCAGTTCAATGCTCTGGAGGCGAAGTGCTTGGAGCGGTGTGCGAGGCGAAGTGTTGAGTTCGGATAGGGGGGGTGTCCCGAACTGCCATGAGACGGGCCAGTTCGGGTCACTGCTTTGTGTGGCTCGGGGCCAAAGGGAGAGTTCGGGCTCCTCGTAGGGAGTTCGAGCTCTTAGTAGGGAGGTCGGGCTCCTTTTAGGGAGTTCGGGCCCCTTGCAGGGAGTTCGGGCTCCCCTTAGGGAGTTGGTCTCCTCGAGGGGAGTTCGGTTTACTGGTYTCTTCCCTTTGGTGTTTGCACCCTGGGTATGCTGCTTTAAGTGCCGAGCTACTTGTTTTTTGCCGCGTGGCGTAATTGCGAGGTCGGGCCAAATCTTCCTTCATCAATTGCCCCCCATTCCTTGTGCTAAGGGTCTTGCCCTGGCGCGGGGAGTTCGCAAGGTGTCAGGTAGATTTGCCTTGCACTTTGAATCTTGGTTCTGACAGTGCGAGGTGCGTTGTCAGGGTTCCTTGGGTTTCTTCGAGCGTCCATTAGGCGGGAAGCGCGCCGGCCTGCGTAAACGCTGATAGCTGTGGCGGCGTGCACTTTATTTCAAAATTTCAAAAAAGCGCCACTTGGGAGGCGCGATAGCGGGCGTCTTTTCAAATTTGAAAAAGACGTGCCGCTGCCGCTTTTATTGAGGAGACGTGTGCTGGCGTTCCGTCAGTTTCGAAAAGATGTGCGCCGGCGCTCTGTCAGTTTCAGAAAGACGTGCGCCAACCACGTCTCGGTCTCAGGGGACGTGTGGTCAGTGCGACTGTAGTCCGTCGGATTGGCTTTGATCTAAGCCGTCACTTTTCGGTCACTGTGAGTATAAATAGCGGAGGGGACCCCAGTTGTTGTCACTTCTGTATCTCTCGAGCTCGCATCCAGTTCGCGTCCAGGTTTTTTCCAGTTCACGTTCAAGGTCTTCCACTTGTCCGAGCTCCTGTGGTCTACAGCTTTTTTCTGGGTGAGTACTTTCCTGGATCCCATCTCACTCCCCGATGTCTAGCTTGGATGGCTCAGATAGTCCTTTCAGCGGGTCTGATGCAGGTTCTACGAATCGAGTTGCATCCCCCGATAGCCCTAGCGAGCCGGAGGTAGAACTCGAGGAAGAGTTCGAACTCGTAGGCCGAGGCGCTTCGGGTAGTTTGGCGTCCACGTCTCGTCGGAGTCGGATGTTAGACAAGTTTGGTCCTTCGACCATGTCGCCCGAGGGGCTCCAATCCCTCATTACTTACTATAACTTGCCCGGGGAGTACGCTTATTTTATACCTTCAGGTAGCTTTCCTTGGGAGCACGGTCCTGATGAGATCGTGATATTCCGGGAGCAGCTCGCCGCGGGGCTGCGATTGCCTTTCCATCCCCTCCTTGTCGAAGTCTTGAACCACTTCGGCGTGACGGTCAGCCAGCTTCACCCGAACTCCATTCGAAATTTGGTGGGGACAATCTCCNCGAGTACCTTCAGGAGGACATTAGGGAGAGGACGCAAATCTTTTCTCAAGGTATCGAAGATGCCAAGAAGAAGGCTGTCGATGAGTACATTGCTTTTTCACGGAAGACAATGCGCGAGGGGTCCACTACCCCCACGATGACGCGCTTGTCATTAAGATCTCGGTCCGCCTCGCGTTTAACGGCGTGTAATCCGTCTGAACTGCTAGGGGAGCTCGGGACGACTGGTTCGGCTTCGGCTCTCGGGCCGGGTTTTTTCTGTCGACTGGGTTGGAGGGCTCGCCTTCCCTCTTTCTTTTCTCATTCCCGCTTTCGGTTCGTTGGTTGATTTCTTCCTCTGTCCTAGTGAACTTGTATGTGAGCTTGAGGAATTCGGCCACGGTTGCGGGCTGGTTAGCTACCATGTGCCACTTGAACTCTTTGTGCGTTACTCCTCTCTTGGCCGCTATGAGCTGCACCGCAGGGTCTAACCGCGGTATCTGTACGCATGCTTCATTGAATCGCTTGATGTAGCCTCAGATGGAATCTCCTTCCCTCTGACTACTCTGAAGATGCTTTCCTCTATCATGGGGCACCGTTTGCTGGTGACGAAGTGTGCGGTGAAGACCTGCACGAACTGGGCTCAGCACTTTATCGACCCAGGGGCCAGGTTCCTGTACCAAGTGCGGGCTACCCCGCTGAAGGTGGTGGTGAAGGCCACGCACATGCACGATTCGCTGGCCCTGGCGAGGTGCATTTGGGAC